GCGCGGCCGCCCAAGCCCGCCGGGAGCTCCTTCTCCCCTTCGCCCCGGATTCCCTCTTCCGCCTGCGGAGGATCACCCGCCCCCTGCCCCAAGTCCGCAGCCACCAGGACCAAGGCGGGGTGGGATGGGGTGGGGGTGGGGCCCCTCCTTCCTGCCCCTTGGCCCTCCCCCTCCTTCCTGCCCCTTGGCCCTCCCCGTCCCCCGCCCCGGAACAGAGAGCAAGGAACTGAGGACCTAAGACCTTGCTGCGAGGTGAGGTCGGCCCCAGGCGCCTGGGTCCTCGAGGAGAATCACACAGTGTTGGTGCCAGGAAAGCTCCAAGGTGGGGAAACTGAGGCTGAGAGAGAAGGGCGTTGATCAAGGTCATAGGGTAGAGGCGGCAGGCGGGAGCTGGAGACAGGGCAGGCTCCTGCCCTGTGATGGAGACTTCACAGCTGACCTTGCCCCGGCCGGTGGAGCCCCAGTCATGGCTCCTTCCCAAGCTCCCACCACTCAGCCTGCAGAAGGGGAGCCAGGGTCTGTCTCATGACCCCCAGGGCAGAGGGACAGAGAGGTGGCTGGGTGCCTGCAAGGACTGGTGTGAGAGCCTGTCAGTTTCCATGGCTGCAGGTTAGACCTAATGTGTGTGCAGGGCTCTCCCAGGCCCCAGGGCACGTGTGTGAGTCAGGGTGAGGGGCAGGTGTTCGTGGGAGCAGCATGTGTGTACACGTCTGTTGTCCATGAGGATGTGTACTGGTGTTTTCGAGTCCACATGCAGATGGACGTGTGTTGGGAGTGCGTAGACACCTGTGTGTGCTAAGGTTGTGAGCTGGCCGGGGAAGGGAGGGCAGGAGCCTGTGAGCAGGTGGTGGGTGGTGTGCAGGCCCTTGGGCTGGGAGTGGAGTGAGCCTGTGAGCACAGATGTGCATGCATATTTATGGGGGCACAGTTGACCCTCTGGCCTCTCCATGCCCCAGCTGTGGGCCTTGCCCCTGGAGGCCCCTTTGGAACCACCTCCCTGCCCCCTTTAGTCCAATCAGCGGTTGGCCCCAGCGGGAAAGCTGATTGCCACAGCCCTGCCTGGTCCTGCCCTTCCCAAGTTGATTACGTTTTTCTGCTTGCTTCTGCTTTTGTCACTGATTAATCACAATCCTACCTTGGGGCCTAGCCAGAGGGGGCTCAGGGAGAGATGCCAGCCCTGGCCACTCCTGGGCCCCAGCACTTCTGGGGCACAGTTCTGGAGAGGATTCCCAGCAGTGTCCACATCCTTCAGAGGAGCCAGGAAGGACTCCAGCGGTTTGTCTGTCTGTCACCCCAGCCTCTATGGGCCAGCCGGGTGCCCATTAGGACCTGGGAATGTGAGAGGCCCCAGGAAACCCCACCCCGAAGCCCTCCTCATCCACCTGTGCCCTGGCCTGACGATGCACCATTGGAACTGAGTGCTTTGAGCTCCCTCAGGTCTTCTGGTAGAGAGAGGAGTGGGGAGGGAAGAACCCAGAACTCAGGGCCAGGTGGACCTGGGGCTCCTACGTCCACCACCTCCTACTGCCATGGGACCTCAGTCACCTCCCTGAACCTGCTGGATCCTCGGTTTCCCCGAGGAAGTGGGGTAGCAATGCCACCTCCCAGGCAGTGATGAGGATGAAGTGATGTGAATGACATATGAGAGGTGCCTGGCAGTGCCTGCCTCCCTGTGCCTCTTGAGAGTTTCCTATTAGCATGAAAATCCCCCCTGAGGAATATGAATTAATAATAATTATAGCTGCTACGTATTGATTGAGACATAAGCCGCAACAGTTTACTCCTTTGGTGTTTACTGAGCGGCCGGGCTGCGCCAGCTCAGGCCAGCCGGTTCTAAATCAGGACCCCTGCGCCAAGGGAGGGTGGGCTGGAGCCTGCTGAGGGGCCAGTGGGAGACCCAGCTCCTGGTGACTTCCCGAGAGGCTGTGGCAGAGCATGCTGGCACTTGCCTGACAGAGGGGCAGCTCCTGCTGCGTCCCCTGCGGCTCCCGGTTTTGCTGCCCAGGTGGAGAATTTTCAAAGGATGGGGCAGAAACAGTCTCTGAGTAAATGAAGTAAAGATCAAGTGGGTGGGCCTACCTAGCTCACTCACTAGGGAGAGTGTGGATGTCTGTGCAGACACGGGCCTCCCTCCAGACCTCGGCCTTTGTCTGTGACCAAGGGGTCAGGCCTTCTACCTTGTGGCCAGGCTCCTTGGGGCAGGCTCCCACCAGGCCAAAGGGACAGGACCCCTGGGGATTATAGCCCCAAGGTTGTGGTGCCCCTCACTGCTTGGGCCATCCCTGACACCCCAGTCCCCTGGTGACTCAGGCCAGGCCCTGTCCTCTCCCCTGATGCAAAGCCACGGCCCACGGAGCTGGCTGTGGGCCCAGGGGGCTTCTATATGCTACCTGCTGCACCTGCTCCCTCTTCTCTATCTGCCGGTGGGTACCTGGGCTACACTTGGCTGTGCATTTGACCTGCATGGAGACCCCGAACCTCTGAAGGTGGTTTGGCCTTGCCACCATCCAGGGTCGAGGGCACCCCTGCCCGGGGAGCTGAAGGGACCAGGTTGGGTCATACAGCCATATGAGGCAGGACTGGGGTTCGAGCCCAAGGCAGGAGCTGGGGGGAAGTAGAGGCAGGGGCTCCAGTGCCCAGGCCCTGGACCATGCTGATCTCTCCCTACCCTTCCAGGCTCAGAGGAGTGCTCCTCTGAGTACCATCATCGACCTCCTTGGCTCTCCACTGCTGTGGACCCCGGGTCACTGGGCAGCCCCTGGGTCCTGCGAGCAAGCCAGGCCGGGAGTCAGAGGATGGGGGGAGCTGCTCCCACCTGGGGCTCACAGAGCAAACACCAGAGGGCTGGGCAACATGGCTGAGGCTGCGCGGCTGGCTCACTGCCAAAGGGCAGTGGGTGGGGGCACGTTTACAGAGGAAGGACATGTCGGCAGGGCTTGAAAAGTCACTGACTTGGGGAGGGGGAGGCAGTGCCATGAGCAGTAAGAGTTCTGCGTGGAGAACCCAGAGCTGTCTGTGTGCCTTTGGGTGTCGCGCGCGCCTCTCTGAGCCTCGGCTCACTCACCTATTAAATAGGAGTACATCCAGCCCCCAGAGTGAATGCTTAGATCCTGCGCTTGAAGTGCTCAGTGCACGGAGCCTGGTGGCTCTTACTACGAGTCCAGGGAACTCAAGGAGGAGAAGCCAGGGTGGGCAAAAACTCAGAGGTGTGAAAGGACCACCCTCAGCTCTGGAGGGCAGGGTCTGGGTCTGCATCCCCCAGATCCAAAGCCTGTCACTGGACTGGATTGGGCTTGGGAAGGTGGCAGGGGCTGGATGAACATCTGCCAAATGGATGAATGAGCGAATGAATGAATGAATGGACAAACAAACGCCCACCAGCCCACCCACCCTTCGGCACTGCAGCCCCATCCTCTCCTCTGCACGTCACAGGGGAGCAGATGGCATGATCGCAAGGTGTGAATTATGTCTGTCGCTCCCCCATCTGGGAAGGTGCTGCTGCCACCACACTGCACTCCCTGGGGTGCCACTGGGAGACTCGTGGGGCCCTCCTGAGAGAGGTCTCCACGGGCTTCGCCCACTAGTCCTTGGCTCAATGTGCTGGAGACACCAGGAGAGGTGACCCACCTGTGACTCTGGGAGAATTCATCAAAGGGCAGGAAAGCAAGGGGAGAGAAGTGGGGACCACCCTGTCCAGAGGCTGGATGCCTCCCTGCTGGAGACTGGAGCCCTCCCTTCTCAAAACCAGCCTGCTCCCGGCTCTCCCTGGCCAGAGACCACCCCTCCGAGCCCTGCGTCCTCTCACCACCATCGTTCAGCACCGGGGAGAGCTCCCAGCAAAGCCCAGGGCCCAGTCGCATAGAGCGAACTTGCAGAGTGACCCCGGAGAGCCTGACGAGGCAATAAATGAACCCATTGTCCAGAGGAGGATATCAAAGTGGAGGGAAGGCAAGTGCCAAGCTCAAGGTCATTCCAGGACCACTGACCGCAGCCCTGCCCAAGCTGGGGGTCCTGTTGGGGGAGGCAGGGAGGTGCTGGTGGGGAGGGGGTGTTCAGGGAGGGCAGAGGCTCTGGCCTCTGCTCCTCGGCTAGGGAACAATATTGTTCCAAGAACCCGCTGGGGACAGTGTCTGGAGGTGAATAAAATATTCATTGTCTGGGCAAACTCACCCAGTCACTTGATGAATAATGGAATTTATAGACTTGCAGAGGCAGACCCAGCCAGGAGAGGTGTGGGCCGGAACCCAGAGGCCCCTGTCTGCTCTGATCCCACCCTGCCCTGGGCACCCGCTCTGAGCTCTCAGGTGTCCACATCCCGTAGGTGACAGGGGCAGACAGGACAGAGCAGGAGACAGAGTCCCTGAGGGGGAAATGGGGCAAAGGAGACAGGTCCTTGAATTTGTGGCTCCTTGA